AAACCAATTTGAATTACAGCAGAGTTCTCAGTGGAAACTCTATAGGCTAGATGTTTATGATTTAAACTCTAAAGAAAGACAAGGAAGGACATTATATATTGTTAAATGTACCAATTCAGAAGTAGATACAACAATTGTAAACTAATATACTGCCAGTACAATAACACCCACATGTATACAGTAATTACTATTAGACTTAAAGGGAGAGATAGACTGCAATACACTGATAGCGGGAGACTTGAAAAACTGACTATCATCAATGAACAGATAATTCAGACAGAAAATGAACAAAGATCCATTGGTGTTGAACCACACCATTTAGCAAATGCAGGTATCAGACATTTGCAGAGCATTTCACCTAACAGCTGCAGAAAACGTGTTATTCTCATCAGTACATGGAACACTCCCTATGGCAGACCATATATTAGGTAACAAATCAAGTCTCAATAAATTAAAAAAAAAATAAAATCATCCTATGTATCCTCTCAGACCAAAGGAATAGCATTAGAAATCAACACACAAGAAACAATAAACTATTTTAAAATTTATGGAAATTTACAAAAATATGGAAATTAAACAACATGTTACAGAATGACCAATAAGTCATTGAAAAAATAAAAAAGAAAATCAAAACTGTCTTGAAGTGATTGAAACTGAAAGCATAATATATCAAAACCTCTCAGATATAGCAAAAGCAGTATTAAGAGGGAAATACATAGCCTTAAGTGCTTTAATAAAAAAGAGAAATGTATTAATACATCTTAAGGATTTTAGAAATCAGGAAAAAGAAAAATGAAAAAAAATTAGCATGAGGAAAGGACTAATAAGGATCAGAGCAGAAAAAAAATGGAAATTGAAACTAAAAACATAAGATGCAAACGATCAACACAGAACAAACCTTTCTTCTCTGAAAAAAAAAAAAACAGAATAGAAAAATAGAGAAACCTCTAGCAAGAACGATAGAGAAAAACGTAAATAAGTAAAATTAGAGATGAAAAAGAGACATTACAACCAAATACTAAATTTTGTTGCATATATAAAAATGTGAGAATGTTGAAATTCATATGAAAAGTTAGCTTAGATGGCATGTTATCATTTGCTAATAAAATATAGAAATACATAGTATGCATTAATTGTGCATATTGTGAACCACTGGCATAAGAGACTAAGATACCATAAGATGTTTTTGCACAGTAAGAAATGTGTGAGAAAAAACATACTGTAACAATATAGAGATACTTAATAACAAGAACAGTAATATAACTTTCCATTAGAATTACATGAACCAAAACCAGTCATGATTATGGTACATCTGGGCTGACGGCTATGTCTCCTCTATACTGACCATCTGCTGGTGACATTCAGTATGGTCCCATTCAGTCCATATGTTCTCAGGACTAAAAATTAAAGCATAAATTTATATCTATTCAGCAGGACAACTGACAAGCTACAGCTATTGGTAAGGCTTATTTCACCATGCATTATGTATAATTTTAATAGAAAAATTTTATTAGCAGCCCATGCATCTTCTCATCTGTTGGGGACCCTTACTCAAAACTAGACTCTGGTGCTTAAAATTAAAATGTCTATGGAGAATATGTACCTTATATGACTAAAATTACCCATAGTATTATCTTCATTCTTGCTTCTTTTGTTTCATTTAAATTTAATTTGAAAAACTTAAATCACCTTACATTGGCTTGTATGTGATTCTATTCCATGACATCTGATGTGGTGCACCTGGTATTCCACTTGAAGGCTATGACATCAAGGTGATTCTACCCATTGTAAGGCACGTTGCATTTAAGCCCTAGCAAAAGGGGAAGTTCGTCAGCGTGCCTATTTTGGAGACATGCAGGATCTCATTTCCACATATACATTTTCTCATATGCCAAGGAAGTATTTCCATACAGAGTTCTTGATTCCTTTGGTCAATCATGCACTGTGACTGAAAATCTGAATCCAGGTAATTCGAAGACCAGTTTCAATATCTGCAAGGGCCCTTTTACTAGTTGTTTCTTCAGAGGTACTGGACCAAATCACTTGTTTATTGAGTAGAAAACACATGTGTCAGTGGAGCAATTGTGTCCCTTGTGTATGTTCAATCTCTCTTGTACATCATGAGAAACTTGGGGATGAGAAGTGAAGTGGATTGGAAGCCAGTGCTGTCACTGTCTATGGTGCTGAATTTTAGTTTGGCAATAAATAGAGTCTGGTATGTCTAAATTCAAATCAGGTTTACAAGCCGGCGCCGTGGCTCAATAGGCTAATCCTCCACCTTGCGGCGCCGGCACACCGGGTTCTAGTCCCGGTCGGGACGCCGGATTCTGTCCCGGTTGCCCCTCTTCCAGGCCAGCTCTCTGCTATGGCCAGGGAGTGCAGTGGAGGATGGCCCAGGTGCTTGGGCCCTGCACCCCATGGGAGACCAGGAAAAGCACCTGGATCCTGGCTCCTGCCATCGGATCAGCGCGGTGCGCCGGCTGCAGCGGCGGCCATTGGAGGGTGAACCAACGGCAAAGGAAGACCTTTCTCTCTCTCTCTCTCTCTCTCACTGTCCACTCTGCCTATTAAAAATAAAAATAAATAAATAAATAAATAAATAAATAAAAAAACAAATCAGGTTTACAAGGACTTTATGAAGATATAGTTGTTAAAGACACAAAATACACTTTAATTTACAATCTGTTAACTTGATTTATAACTGTTATATCTTTAGACATATGGTATGTGGGTTCGTGTTTCCATCCAACCTTTTTACAAGACAAAGCTGGGCCTGCCTTAAGTACTTTATTTATCTAAAGCAAAACAAAAAATGTAATACCATGTGAAAACAGGATACGTTTTTGAAGCAATAGCAGAACTTTGACTAAAATATTACCTGGATTTCAAACATTTGTCTCTGAAAAAATATATAGCAAATTTGGAAAACATTTTGAGCAGAAAATTGGTGCTTAGAGATTGAAACACAGAAGTGAGGTACCAGAAAGTTTGTTCAATTCAACTGTTACCAAGAGTTTTGTTGGCACAATTTAGTGCTTCCTTGAAGCCTTCTAGAAAGAGGTAGATGTCTGAGCCATTCATGAGTATATTTTATCATAGTTATGTTTCATCAGTTGTGAAAAACCAAAAAACACTGACATTTAAATCAAACACAGGTCAATGACAGGTTACTAATATACTTATATTGTTACTTGCTATGAATTTTATCATTTCATTATTCTTTATTACCAATTTATTTTTAAAAGCTATTTATTAAATAGAAAACTCTCTATATACAGATAATCTACCTATACATACTTATAGATCTATCTATATATACCTATGATTATTTAGTTATACATTTTACACAAGTAAATGTATATTTTTTTCCTAACATTTTGTTATATGTTGGATAATGTGGTCAATTTTTATAAGAGCAGTTTTGTTTACTGGTCCATTTATTCCTTTATGTTTATTCATTTATTTTCATCTGTTTGAGCAGAAGAGAAAGAAGTATGAGAGGGAGGGAGAGAAAGGGAAACTGTCAAGTCACTGGTACATGCCCCAGATTCCCTCAAAAGCTAGATCTGGGCCAGGCTAAAGCCAGGAGCAAGGAATTATATCTAGGTCTCCAAAGATGCAATAGAAGGAAGTAGGATCAGAAGCAGAGGTGCTGGGATCCAAACCAAGCACTCTGATATGGGATGAAAATATGTCAATTAGTGGCTTAACACCCTATGAAACAATACCCATCGTGTCACAATGCTGGCCATCAAACTCCTTTCTATGAAAGAAAAGTCATATAAGATAAACTACTCTGGTTTCCGTTTTTACAAAGTATATTCACCATGCAATGTATTTAAGAATTGTTGAAGAGGGTGGACATTTGTCTCAGCACCTAAGACATCCATTAAGATGACTGTAATCCATACTGTATATGTCTCTTTGCTTCACAAATAAAAATCGAATAAAAAAAATTGCTGAAGTACAGAAAAAATATCATTAAAGAATATCATTTTGTATATGCTAAAATAGAAAAAATAAAAATATGATACCTAAATGCATTCTATTCCATTGTCTTGAGTGCATTATATTGTTAATTTCCAGGAAAAAATGAAAATTAGAAATAAGAATCAGGTGACAGTGATATAGGATAAGTCAGACAGCTGGATTAAGTTCTGGAAGCTGGGATCCACACCTCCCATAGTCCATACAATCTTATCCATCCACTTGTCCATCAGATGACTACTTCTAAAGGAAGCACTTCCTCATATTCAGGACCTGAGAATGAGATCATGTAAACAATTCCCTTTCTAAGCTCATAAGAAGTCAGGTAAAGTGAAAGCTCTCTTCTCTCTCCATGTGAACCAAATGAGCAGGGTATAAAAGTCTCTACTTTTCCTGGCCCATTCTCCCTAAACAAAGGCCACATACATATGTATTTTCCTCACTTTGTAAATAACCCTATCATGTTGCACGACGTGTTTGTGCCTATATTTACAATACTTCTCTAAGTAAAAGGTAAGATTCTAGAATAGAAATTTAGTTGCTAAGGCCATTGTTAATTTGATATATTTAGTATGAATTAGTAATAAATGTAAGATTCTTATAAGAAAAATATAAGGTAATTTGGGTCTTCAAGAAAAAGACAAAATAGGCTTCATATGCAAACACTTTACTGATACAAAAAAGAATATAAATGTCTATTATTTATACGTAATATATATACATTGTATATATGCATATATTTATAAAAATAATTACCTCACAAAAATTCATGCATTCATCACACATAAAATCATCACTTCAATAGCACAAAGTTTGTGAAGATGAGCTGATTTTTTTTAATGTCTCTATTGATTCCACCAGTTTCTTTACTCAGTAATAGTAAATGGTCAAAAAAATGTAAGAGTGATGCATTATATTAGTGTACATTAGTAATTAGCCTAAAGAAAAAAAGACAATGTAATTATGGAGAATATGAAATGGCAAAGTTGGGTTATATATATACATTGACTCACTCTCAAATTTCCTGTTTCTTCAAGCTTTCTCCTTCATTCTTGCCCTCCAACATTGTCTCAGTCAGCTGTAGTCAACGTTCAGAGCCACTTACCAAAAGCGACACAACGTATTTTTAAAAAATCAGAGATAAAGAGACAAATAGTTAACCATCCAATGGTTCATTCCCCCAAATGTCTACACTAGACAAAGTTGCATCACTGTAAAACAAAGACTAGGTAACTCACTCCTTGATGTCCAATGTGGGTAATGAGACTCAACCATTTGAGCCATTACCTACTGCATTCCAGGGTACACATTAACAGAAAACCAGAATCTGGAGCACAATCAACACTCCAATCCCGTCACTCCGATTCTGATATGGAATGTTGGTGTCCTACCAGCTGAGCAAAGGCCCACCACTAAACTAGGGGTTTAAAGCCAGGGTTTCTGAGGTGCTGGACTACTAACCAAACAGTTTTCTCAATGTAAAATTCTATGTTCAGAAAGCATGCACAAGGTCATGTCATATAAACTGGCAATATAAATATACCATATGTGATGATTACAAACATTTTGCTGGTAAAGGAAAATTTAGCAACACAAATGAGACCCAACAGTGATATATTACAGTACTTTAAATTCCAGTTTAATATTTAAGTAGGATTATAAAATTCCCATAAAGTTTTGGAATTTCAGGATAAATTAGTTTTCACTTTGCTTTTTGAGTGAAGCTGCATAGATAACAAGCCTCAGAGAGTAATCTTCCACTTGTTAGCATAGTTTGCAATCCTCCAATAGGGGCAGCATGCTGTGTTTATATATGGAAGTCCTGGGCACACTGGAATGACTTTCCATACATAAAGAATGTGGGATGTGGTAGACAGAGAGTAAAATGGGAGACATGCCTGCTGTGTTTACAGATGGAGGTACAGAGCAAACTGATTCTGAAATGAAAGCCTACAGTGAACAACAAAAAGCACATAAGTCTAAGGAAGTACAAACAAGGCAATGGATAATGACTCGTTCCTTGGAAGCTTTTTTGAGAAAAGGAGATGCCCAAAAAGCAGAATGTTTGCCTTTATTCCATCATGAAAATTCGGTGCCTAGCACCACACATTCCTGCAGTGTGGAATAAGATCAATCTTTGAGAAAGTAAAAAAATGAAGTTTGCAAAATGTAGTAAAAACGCTGAGTTACCTAAAAATGGACTGGGCATCCCTAAATTTTGTAAAACATAATAGTGAACAGTCAGAGGATAGCCTTTGCATATTTTTTTTTTGACAGGCATAGTGGACAGTGAGAGAGACAGAGAGAAAGGTCTTCCTTTGCCGTTGGTTCACCCTCCAATGGCCGCCGTGGCCGGCGCGCTGTAGCCGGCGCACTGCGCTGATCCGATGGCAGGAGCCAGGTACTTATCCTGGTCTCCCATGGGGTGCAGGGCCCAAGCACCTGGGCCATCCTCCACTGCACTCCCGGGCCACAGCAGAGAGCTGGCCTGGAAGTGGGACAACCGGGACAGAATCCAGCGCCCCGACCAGGACTAAGACCCTGTGTGCCGGCGCCGCAAGGCAGAGGATTAGCCTATTGAGCCGCGGCACCGGCCAACCTTTGTATATGTTTTAACAATATTCAGTAATTATGAAGGAGGCCTGGGGGATTTCTGTGTACCACTTTAGTGTCATTGTAAGCATTACATGGTAATACAAGCTGTCTGCAAAGCTCATTTTTTTGATATAGAGCTGACTGTGGACTTGTCCTGTGAAGTCCACATCTTCTGGGAGAAGGGGTGATAGTGTTCTTCCACAAGAAGCCCCAGGGACAGGCTTCGGTAAACATGTCCATCTTTATTAACAACTATGTACACTTTTAAAGGGCAAGCATAAGGGGTATAAGTAACTCAGGGCAAACACTAAAACTTTAGGACAGAACTGACACTGGTGCCAATATGCTTCTCCAATCAGTTTGACGATCACTTGATCACTTAGCTAGAGTAGCTTTCCATGTGGACCTGGGCCACACTCGGGAGCAGTTTACCTGATTGGCAGTAGGCAGGGGTGGGAAGAAATGTGCCTGGGGCTCCTGCCGCCTGCCAGCTGCCAGGGTAACTGCCTGGACTAGGCCGCCAGTCTCACCTGATAACCCACAGATAAGTACCTTAGTTTTTTTGAAAATACTGTTTACTGTTGATTAAGATATTTTACATTTTTACAATTTTACCTGTTTGCTAGTGAAAAACTGATCTAGAGACAAGAGAATCAATAATAGAGCTACAATTAAGTTCTAGCCAAAGAATATCCAAAAATTAACTTTTCATTGTCCATCTGGAATCTAATTTTATAGCTTCGTCTTTGCATTAAACATTCTTCCTTCCAATTCTTATGACTACTTCATATACTTGTGACTTCTTTGAATTAGTCTTATCATGTTAGTGCCCTTCAAAATGAGTAATTAATTACTTGATGTAACTTCTCTTCCCCCTCTTTGCTCTCTCCCTCTCTCCCTCTCTCTCACTACTTCTCTGAATCTATCTCTCATAAAAATAAAACTATTGAAAACCACTTTTGTTGCTTTAATATTTCCAGAAAGGATTTTAATATCACTCATATAACAGTGTTTATTGTCATGTTTGTGATGGATCTTCTAGAATAAACTATCTCAGAAGGGCTAATATTTTAAATTGAGTGAAAAAGCAATGAGGCACTTTGGAATTTTCTGTGTAAATTATCAAAGATTCAGAAACAAATAAGAAATATTCACAAATTGATGCTGGTCCTTGCCCAAGTGATTTTTTTTTGGTGGTGGTGGTATTGTTGTTTAATAATTACTTGGAATTTATCTTTTAAAAAATTGGTTATTAGAAAGTCAGAGTTTCACAGAGAGAGAGGAGAGGCAGAGAGAGAGAGAGAGGTCTTCCATCTGATCGTTCACTACCCAATTTGTCACAACAGCAGGTGCTGGGCAGATTCAAAGCCAGTAGCCGGAGCTTCTTCTAGGTCTCCCACATGGGTGCAGGGGCCCAAGGACTTGGGCCATCTTCTACTGCTTTCCCAGGCCACAGCAGAGAGCTGGATTGGAAGTGCAAAAGCCAGGTTTCAAACCGATGCCCACATGGGATGCCGGTGCTTCAGTCCAGGGCATTAATCCACTGTCCCACAGTGCCAGCCCCAACCACATGGATGGAATTTAAATCAAATTTCAACATGTACTTAGGAAATGGACAGTATTAGGTTAAAATAATGAAATTTATATTGAAAGTCATATGGCCTCAACCATTTTGTATAATTTGAGATTATACCTCAAAACTGTATATATTCTTATTTTCAGTTTAATTCTATTTTTGTTAATTAATAATTAGTTAATTTTTAAGGAATACAAATTTCATAAGTACAACTTTAAAAATATAGTTATTCTTCCAACCAAACTGCCCTCCTGCCCACATCCCCACCCCTTCTCCTCCTCCCTCTCCCCTTCTTAGTCTCATTCATCAAGATTAATTTTCAGTTAACTTTGTACACAGAACACCAACTCACTACTAAGTAAAGATTTTAACAATTTGGAAACACATGCACACACACACACACAAAACTGTTTGAGAAATAGTTTTACAGTTAACTCTTATAATACCACTCATTGAGGATAGAGGTCCTGCATGGGGAGTTAGTGCACAGTTATTTTATTGTTAATTTAACAAGTAACACTATTATGTATTATGTCAGTGACCACCTGAGGCTCTTGACATGTTCTGCCCAGACTATGGAAGCCCATTGAAGACACAATCACCATCAGTATTTAGACAAGGCCATAAGCAAAGTGGAAGTTCTCTCCTCCCTTCATTTGACAGGCATTTAGGTTGATTCAATGTCTTAGCTATTGTGAATTGAGCTGCAATAAACACGGGGGTTCAGATAACTATTTTCATTACTGATTTCATTTCCCTTAGGTAAATTCCCAGGAGTGGGATGGCTGGGTCATATGGTAGGTCTATACTCCAATTTTGGAGACATATCCATATTGTCTTTCACAGTGGTTTTACCAGTTTACATGGGTTAGGGTACCTTTTTCTCCACTTCCTTGCCAGCATTTATTGTTTGTTGATTTCTGTTTGAAAGCCATTCTAACTGGGGTGGTGTGATAACACATTGTGGTTTTGACTTGCATTTCCCTGATGATTAGTGGTCCTGAGCATTTTTTATGTGTCTACATCCTCTTTTGAAAAATGTCTGTTTAAAGCCTTTGCCTATCTCTTAACTGGGTTGTTTGTTTTGCTGTTGTGTAGTTTCTTGATACCTTTGTATATTCTGGTTATTAATCCTTTATCAGATGCATAGTTTACAAATCATTTCTCCCATTCTGTTGGTAGCCTCTTCACTTTCCTGAGTATTTCTTTTGCAGTACAGAAACTTCTCAATTTGATGTAATCCCATTTCTTAATTTTGGCTTTCAATGCTTGCATTTCTGGAGGCTTTTCCTAGAACTCTTTGCCTGTGCCAATGTCTTGCAGAGTTTCTCCAGTGTTCTCTAATAATTTGATGTTGTTGTGTGGACATTTAAGTTTTTAATCCACTTTGAGTGTATTTTGGGGTAAGGTGTAAGGTAGGGGTCTTGTTTCATATTTCTGCATGTGGAAATCCAGTTTTCCCAGAAGCACTTGTCGAAGAGACTGTCCTTGCTCCAGGAATTGGTTTTAGCTCCTGGATCAGATGTAAGTTCATTGTAGATGCTTGGATTGATTTATAGTGTTTCTATTCTGTTCCATTGATCAATCCATCTGTTTTTGTACCAGTATCAGGCTGTTTTGACTTTAACTGCCTTGTAGTATATCTTTGAATCTTGTATTGTGGTTCCCCAGCTTTGTTTTGTTGTATAAGATTGCTTTAGCTATTCAAGGTCTCCTGTGTTTCCATACAAATTTCAGCATCATTTTTTCTAGATCTGAGAAGAATGTCTCTGATATTTTGATTGCTATCACATAGAATCTGTAAATTGCTTTTGGAAGAATGGACATTTTGATTATATTGATTCTTCCAATACATGAAAATGGAAGATTTTTCCAATTTGTTGTATCTTCTTCCATTTCTTTAATGTTTTGTAATCCTCATAGTAGAGATCTTTAACATCCTTGGTTCAATTTATTCCAAGGTATTTTTTGTAGCTTTTGTGAATGGGATTGATCTTAGAAGCTCAATCTCAGCCTTGTCATTGTCTGTGTATACAAAAGCTAATGATATCATGTAT